GTAGCCTAACACCAGTTGTGACAAAATTGTTGGCCTCGATTCTCCTTCGTCGCCTCACTGCGGAACGGGGAGCTCGAATTAGGGAAGAGCAGACCGGTTTCCGCCCAGGACGTGGTTGTATAGACCATATGTTCACTTTGCGGCAGGGGCTAGAGCAGCGCCACGCATACCGCAGACCGACAATAGCTGTGTTCCTCGATTTCAAGAGTGCGTTCGATTCAGTCGATCGATCGATTCTGTTCGAAATCAGTTCCGGGTGAGGAATTCTTTTCGGTAACTCTCACCTGACCCAAACATTTACAAATCACTGATACTGTGGGGTAAGCGTCAACTCGGGCTGGGATTTACTTCTGGACTGTTTGAATGATCAAAATCGATAACTTGAGACAGAGATAGCGATGGTTAACCAAGTAAACTAAATACACATGGTTATGCAAAGCTCAGTAGTCCGGCATGGTTTTACAAAGGCGAAATGAGGTCTTCAGACAGCTCAATCATGTCGCACCTCCTTGAATGTGGCCACACAGCTTCAGAGAATGACTTCAAAGTCATTTATTCACTACCTGAACACTACACTCAAGGATTCCGCAAAGAACTCTTATCCATCGCCGAGGCTATCTACATTCACCATCTGAAGCCGAAATTATGTATACAAAAACGATTCATACGGCCGATACTACTACCTTGGCCAACGGACACTGTTACTTCGTTATTTGGCTGTTATTTTACCTACTTAATTAAGTTGGACTACTGAGCTTTGCGTATGTATGTGTATTTAGTTTACTTGGTTTACCATCGCTATCTATGTCTCAATGTAGCTACACTGGCGCGAAAGGCTAGCGTTCGCCTGGCCCTCCTTGGACGTGCACTAGGGTCTTTCCCTAGAGAGACATTTGTCCGTCTCTATAGCACTTTAGTACGTCCGCAGCAGGAGTACAACATACTTGTCCAGCCGCCGTACCTGAAGAAGGATGAGGCTATGCTGGAAAATGTACAGCGCAGAGCCACTAAGAAAGTGGACGGACTATCCCACTTCTCGTATGAGGAGCGTCTGGCGGCCCTTAACCTCTTCCCGTTGAAATATCGCAGGCTTCGTGGCGACCTTATCTTAGCATATTCCGTCCTGACTAATAACAGGCACCCAAACGCAGGATTGCTGGTCCGCGCCCGTACAGATCATCTTCGAGGGCACTCACTCAAACTGATGACTCGTAGCAGTCGCCTTCTGTGCCGAAGAAACAGTTTCAGTGTGCGTATTGCCTTCGCTTGTAACGCCCTCCCTGAAGTTGTCTCAGCGCCCAATACGGAGGCCTTCAAACAGCGCCTAGACGCTTGGCTTTTACCTCGCTGGTCTTCCACGTTGCTAAAATCTGGCCATTTGCCAAGCTAACACGCGGCGCTTCTATCATTTTGCTTCTATCCAACTTTGCCGAATTTACCTACACCACTCTCTTGTTCCAGGTATCCACGTTCCCACAGTCAACTCGCTGAATACTTGTGCTGAACACCACTACTGCGTCGAGACCCACAACATCTGGTACCTACCGACGAGATCAGGACCTTGCCGTAAGATCCCGAGGCAGAACCACCGAAAAGCTACGCTTACTCGTTCTGCGCAAACCCGTGAAACAGTCCAGAAGTAAATCCCAGCCCGAGTTGACGCTTACCCCACAGTATCAGTGATTTGTAACTGTTTGGGTCCGATGAGAGTTACCGAAAAGAATTCTTCACCCGGAACTGACTTCTGATATTGATTCATATTAATGGAATGGAAATCTTTGCTTTGCTGAAGACCAGCATTGCCCGTGATTCATTGAATCTGTTCGAAATACTTGCGCGGAAATGTATTCCCACGAAATATGTGAACATCCTTCTTGCTGTATACTCGAACACTACAGGCCGCGTCAGGGTCTACGGTGTCCTATCGGATAGCTTTCCGACAACAAGTGGCGTTCTTCAGGGTTGTCCGATTTCTCCATTTTTGTTCAATTTCGTCGTGGATTCGATCATGGAGTGTTCCCTTGCGGAGTCTCACTACGTAGGCGTGGTGAAAGGTTAGCTGATCTAGTTTATGCGGACGATGTCTTGCATTTCGACGATGTTGGGGCGCCCCAATCAACCCTGAATAGCCTGTCCAGATTGGTTCCATTATTTGGCATGCACTTCGCATCTTCAAAGTGCAAAGTGTTGCTGCAGGACCACCAGCCACTTGATGACCCCTTGACGCCTGCTAACGAGAAAGTCGAGGTGGTTGATCATTTCACTTATCTTGACAGCTGCATCCGCAATGATGGGCGCATAGCAACTGACGTCAGCTCACGCATTGCAAAAGCCAGAGCTACCTTCTTGAACTTGCGGCATCTTTGGCGACAGAAGGGAGTTTCCCTCCGTCTGAAAAGCTGGGTATACAAGGCCACAGTGAGGGCTGTTCTGCTCTATGGTGGTGAGACTTGGCCCCTTCGGTCTGAAGAGCTGAGGCGCCTTCAAGTCTTTGATCATCGTTGTCTGCGAAGCATTACTGGTGTCGGATCGCACCAGCGTGTCCGCAACGATGATGTGCGTACGCGAGTACTAGATAGTGGTAATCATGCTAGCTCCCTAGAACAACAGATAGCACTGAATAAGTTGCGTTGGCTCGGGCACGTGGTACGTATGCCTGGTCACCGCTTACCTAGGAGGGCTTTGTTTAGTCTGCCAGGTGTAGGGTGGCGCAAGGCTCGAGGTGGACGGAAGTTGACTTGGCAGCGGGAAATGAAGTCATTGACGATTAAACTGGGTGCCGTTGGTCCGTCTCGCCTTCCGGGCTGTAGTCCACGTGACTCGCTTTGTGCTTGACTCAATACTTTACAGGACATGGCTCGCAGTAGACATCAGTGGCGCGTCTGCTGCCGTCTCTTAATCGGATTGCCTGTTTAAAGTGTGTTTGGTGCTGAGTTATCTGTGGGGTAATGGCTGATTATGACGCAGGGCAGTGAAAGCCGCAAGGAAGCTGTCTCGCTGATGCCGCCTTATCTTCGCACGCTAGCCAGCTGTTTGTGACGGTATGTTGTCTACACAAGGTGTAGGCGCCTTGACCCTGAATGTTTGCTTAGGGCATTAAGGTTTTCAGGTAAGTCCCCCTTTCTCTCCCTCTTCTTCTTATTTATTCCATAGCTCCTCATGGTTGTATGGCAGCGAAGCTGATGTACCGCTGTTGATGATGGTGATGATGATCGGAGCGTCTGATTCCTCCACAAGTTATTTGCTCGATGGGAGTGAACTTCCTCACGTGATTCATCAGGTTGATCTAGGTGTCGTACACTGTTCCACACTACACTCTGGAGACAACTGTTTGAGGGCGACTAGTAAACGGTTCCAGATGTTGTGGTTTATCCGTCGTTCTTTCGGGACCCTAACCGCTAATGTGTTTGTGAAGCTCTTCTCAGCGTTTGTGCGACCCCACCTAGAATATTGCGTCCAGGCCTGTCTACCACACCTTGTCCGGGACAAAATGGCACTAGAAAGGGTGTTACTTGTCGGTACTAGATTGTTCGAGGGTTAACGAGGACAAACGTACCCCGAACGTCTACTTAGTTTGGGGATGCATTCAATGCACTGTCGAAAGATTAGAGGGGATCTAATTCTAACCTACCGTATTTTGACTGGGAAGGTTGGCCCTGATTTGTCCTGGCTATTGAGTCCTGCTAGAGTAGCTGGTCTCCGCGGGCATTGTATGAAGCTGGACAAACCGCAGTTCGATCGAGTTAGATCGAAGACACGGTTATCGCGTCGAGTCATCGAGCGCTGGAACTTGCTTCCAGAAGATGTTGTCAAGGAAGGTACTGTTAAAGGGTTTGAGCGTCAACTAGATGTTCTTGGGTGGCAACACGAAACCTTTCCTCTTTTCTGTCTAATTCCCATCTTCATACTTCGATACCATTTTTTGTACTTTCCCTCATCACTGGTAGTATTATCTTCTTTTAAATGATTTCCCTTACTCTTTACCTACGATTTTTCTTCCTCGCTTACTTCACGTAACTGACATAGCAGTAACATCTATTGTAAGGAACGTGGACATTAAATTGGTGGACCAGGGTGCTTTTTCGGGTGTTTTTGTTTTAGACCCATCACGAAGTCGGAGCACCGATATCAACTCCTGGATCGATGACAGGCTCGAGAAGGAACACTTACGGGATTTCTCTTATCGTTCCTGTCCCACTTGAACTTGAACTTGAGGGAACCTGATTCTCACTTATCGTATTTTGACGTGTAAGATCTACCCGGAGTTTTCAGAACTATTTAGTTCCGTTACATTATCTAATCTTTGTTGTCACCCACTGAAACTACATATACCACGGTCTGATAGGATTAGAACGGAAATTCGTCCGTCGCGCCGCTATAGTTCGCTGGCATTCGCTTCCAGATCATGTGGTTAAAGAACCTACAGTTAAGGCTTTTGCGTGCCAGCTCGATGCTCTTTGGTGCCAACACCGAACCTTTCCTTTTTCCTAATTGACTCCACTTTTCAACATTTTAGTGACACATGTCTTGGTATTCTACTTGCTTAGCTCTTTCCACGTTCTCTTCTGAGTTTACTTTTCAATCTTTCTTACTTCACGTAACTGGCCCAGCAGAGACTGATAGGGCAGGATACGTGGGCATTAATTGGTTGGACAAGATGTGATGCGGTCTTTGTTTTAGGTCCATCATTATTTCAAGGTCTGCCAACTCCTGGTTCAACGACCTGCTGTTGAAGGAACACTCACGGGCTAATCCTGTCGTTCCAGTCCCACTTGAACTTGAACTTACCTTCCAAGTTCGTCTTCTATGTTGTTGGAGTAGCCACCTATCGTGCGCTTTCGCACCATCCATTTAGTCGCCTCGCACTCGGTCCTCCATCAGCACCTGTGACAGTACTGGCCAGCTAACTACGAGATGTGACACAAGCACACTATAGATCCCGCTCCGACGCTTATTGGGCGGTATTCCAGCCGCTTACGAAGTATCTCCTTTGCCTTTCAGCCCCCTCGGTCTAATACGACCCACGTACGCCCCGACACAAAAGCCCTCGGAACTCTCGACCGGACGCATATTACAATACGTATGCGGTTGTTTGCCTTTCGGATGGCTAGCTGCAAGGAACTGGAAGACAGAATCCAGGACCTGAAGCGGCTGAATTATGAAGTAACCCGTAGCTTTAATTTAATTTTAGGAACTTTTGCAAAAAGCTATTCACCGCGAGCGCCGCGTATTTGAGTTGGAAAACACGCTTGCTAAGCTTCACACAGGCACTCTTTCAAAAGAGGGACTAAGACCTTTTGATTTCAGCAGGTACGGATATTACATGCGTATCACCTTAAAGCCGTAGATATAAAAAGAGACATGTTGCTTTGCAGATTGCTTATTTGGGATGGAATTACAGTGGGATCGCCCTCCAGAACCCATCACAACCTGTGACTGTTATGGAACGGGTTATGCAATCTTTAGAGAGATGCAGACTTGTAGAGAATAGGTATGCTGTATATGTTAAACTCGTATTTTGCGAGGAATGTGGGCCTTACAATTTGTGGTCGCACTGACAAAGGCGTTAGCGCAGTCGGTCAAGTGCGTCTGCCGCAGTTTACCAATTTGCTAGGTATTGTCTGTCGTTCTGCGATCAGCCGTCAACTGCGGTGTTGGTGTCATTAGTGATTCCGGGCCCAACATTGATCAGCGACCAGGTAGCTTCACTTTCTGAACTCATTTTCCAGGGTCGGTCGACACAGAAATCGACTATGTTTTGTTGCTAAACCGAGTTTTACCTCACGACATACGTGTTTTAGCCTGGTCTCCCGTATCAGAAGATTTTAATGCCAGGTATCTTTTGACTACGCTTACCACATTTTTCAGATTTACCTGCTTACAACGATCCTACTCCTATTACTTCCCCCTGAGTGGATTGGACTTATCGGTACCATTACTTTTTCGTATCTCACAACTAGGCCATGCAAGATGCAGCTTCCCGGCTAGAAGGAACACACGATTTCAGGAACTTTTGTTCTAACCAAGTTGAAAGCGACTGCGTTACTTTTGTGCGCCGGATCGATCGCGTTGCTGTCGAAATGCTCGGGGCTGATAGCTCGTAGGTCATCCTGTGTGGTTTTTACGCGCTGTTTTACATATTTAATGTTTTGTTGTTTACCGAATCTACCTTGTTTGTTAGAGCGATAAATACCGTAAGCACTTCAGTTGACCTGCTTTCCCCAAACTGCACGACATCATAGCGGCACCATAAACTTTGACACTGCAATGGGTTACTCACGTTCGCGATTCATTGGACTACAAGATATGGTGGTGCTTGGATGCGCGTATTGATATTTACACTAAATAGACTTGGTATGGAACCACACAAACTGCAAGTTTTCACTTTAGTGGTTGGGGAGGTGCGTACGAGTTACAGTTCTATCATGCTCGTCACAAAGCCTGATCGCTACAGATCGCCTCTCGATTTGGTATAACAAGCTAGCTGTTTGACGGCTCGCTGTTACTTGCAACAGCCCAGGTAGTCTGGTTATCGAGTTTTTATCGTCTATACTCTAGGAGATCGACTAATAAATGACATTCTCTCTTCGGTTCCTTAGTTGATACAGGCGCGACTTCTCCGGAGCACTCACTCATACAAGCTGTCTGTGTCTTGACGGATTCCCGACTACTTTTGTCATTATAGTGACGATGCCTACGAACTTCACAATCCTGGTCCTATGTAGTAAATGGCTTGGAGTGTTTCCTTTATTGGTATTAACCTCAGTAGATAGCTGGTGGCCTAATAAACGGTACCTGACTTAATGTCTCAACTAGGTTAAATCAACACCTCCAGAAGGTGCAGTGTTTCTGTCGTTTCTGTGTACACCTATCTACTGCAGCTCGTAAACTGTCGGGGACGAGCTGTGGACACTCCTCATCCGTATGGAAAAATGATAATGCTATTGTTGTCTTCATAGGTGATATGAATGAGGGCCTTTTGCCGGGGACCGAACAACGTTCAGGGTGCCAATTTCGGGCACCAACCAAATGAACATATGTCCTTGATTCAGAGTAGGAACCTTGTTGTCAGTCATAGCGCGCGCCAGTGCAAGGTTAGTATCCGAACTGGATAACATGTTCTCGACCACGCATCAGTGCGCACTTGCTTTCTACTTGCACAATTTAGATGTTATTTACTCGCGATATGAACTTGCGGCTTTTCGTACAACCGTCCGCATCTGAACTACAGCAATTGCCGACACGTATAGTGATTGATCCGTATGCTGCCGATTCACTACGTGGTTAATGGCGGTCACATGCGTACCTAGACTGCTTCGCTTAAACAGCTGGTGGATCACTGAAGCGAGGCAATCGGCCACACTATTTGGCCAATCTCAAAGCGTACTGGTGTCTTAAACCGCCATCTGGCTTGTGGTTTCAAAAGCAGTCAGTGCGTTTGTCGCTGGCAATGGTCGGGGAAATGGAGAAAGCCAATCCAAGTTAAAACAGCATTGCCTGTTTAAACTCATAAGTACCGGTTTTGCCTCGTGCCATCGACCTCAGCGCGGTCTGCAGAATCTCGATATCCACAAGATAGTGACGCCGAGACGCACAACTAGAAATCCGACATGCACGTGCATTTTTGGAACTAAACACATCTCAAATATGACAGGCTTATTGTTACCGAAGTGCATTGTGCTTACTGCTTGTTGATCTGCCCTGTGTTCAAATGTTTATGGTAGCGTAAGTTCTCAGACCGGTGGCTATTTTCCATCATACTCGTTTCTAAAAGGTGTATGCAGTGAGACTACTTACTATCTTTACTGTTGCCTCCAAATTGCGCACGCGCGCCGTAGTAATGGTTCACTGATGTTTTCAAATGTGGAGCCGATGACAGCAAATCTGGCTTTAAGTACTGCAGAGATTGTGTTACACGCATATTTGCGCTTTGTCAAGTCCCTGCACGGTGTCACACTGTTGATTTACTCGAGAACTGTCTTCGTTTCACTTGTTAGTGCTTGTTTCTTGTGCTGTCTCCTTTAGTGCCTCGTCGGAAGTCCTTTATCTTTCGACGATCTTGACTCAAGAAGCCGTATGGATATCTGCCGGAATCACTATCTTCAGCTCTCAGTGACATATAAGGTGCATCAGGTCCACCACATTCTCCCCTTTTTCGCTTTGTACCGAACCACTCTATCTTACATGCTTCATCCAAGGGCCGGCGTGCGTTTTCTTAGGGTTGGATCTATACCGCGTACAAGCTCTGTAGAATGAAGTGATGCAGGGCACCACGTGCTTCAACAAATGCTTCGCACTTCCCTAGTTTGGGGCGCTGCTACGCGACACGCATTGTAACCGATTCTCATGCTTATTGGACGAAGACTAAAAGGTCGATCGGGTTGTTTTTCTCATTATTATCAATCGTCTAAGTAATAGACATGGTGCCGTCGAAAACCATGGACATCGAAAGAGAGTACAATTTTAGCAAAAAGGCAACGGCACTTTTTGTTTTTCGCACGCCTTTTTGTACTTTTCAGTATTTGCAGCATTAACTACATGGATCACAACAGTTCTACATGCAATTCTATTGCCTCCGGTTACGAGCCATATCTGAAGGCGTGACGACCAACTGGCACTTCTTATCCAAGAGGACGTACGAGTCCAACCGTAGCCAAACGCAGCATTTGCGATTTCATTTGCTGTCTACAAGTGGGAGGTTGATTACCACGCGGTCGGTTCTAACCCGATCCTACCTGAGTGAATAGGGCGCGGTGCGATAAACTCTCCAGTGCCAAGTGTATGGCTTGACCAACCTATCTCAACTGGTACAGCAAAACCAGCTTGTTGAAGGGAATGCTTGCATATACCATGATTCGACGTCTAGCTTTATCACTCCGAACTCGGTGTTGCTTCCACACATGTACAAATCTATACAAACAGCCATCGTCTAAGGTGGAAAGCCGGCGCATGTCATGTGCGCGAATTCATCTAGGCTGGATCCCACACAACACTAGTGATCAAACGGACGCGTTGAAAACCCGGCCCTTTACTGCGAGGGAGACTTCCCGATGACGCCACAAGTACACCAGATTGGCAAGTACCGTCGCCACGACACTGAACCTTCACGTGGTGTGACGGTTTGCCTACCTCCTTGACCCATTGGGCTATACTGGGTGGTGCCTCCGGACATCTTGTGAGATACTACCAGCTTGGTCAATGGTGAGAGGTCAGACAAACTCAGTCTCCTGCTTCTCCATGTTGTGGGTTTGAAATGGGATGGCGTTCATTTCCGTAAAACTAAATCATTGCTACCTCCCCGCTGCCTTGCGGACAGACTTTGAGCCAAAGGCTTTGGATGAGCACCTTAATCGTCCTCCTGTCTAAGTCTGGGCGCCCTGACAGTATCTCAGCCCACATACAACCATGACATTTTCTTCCAACATAAACTTCATCCTGCATCGGCCGTCGCGCAGATTATCAAGGGTCGCGTTGTCTGCTGTATACAGCAGGGCGGATAAGCGAAACATGCTACTGCTGGCGTCCCCTTCTTACTTTTCCACCTACCATCCCGACCCCCAATATTAACCTTCCTTCTATAATTCCCAGCTTTATTGAAAGCAACCGAAGTGCCACTGGAGTAGAACCAACTACAGCCACCTCGCGACACGCTCCGGACGCCTATCGGCAGCAGTCAATTATAAGGCCACGTTGTCCCGTTTCCATGGCGACATTCAACGTTCAAACTCTAAGACAAACAGGTCAACAGGCTGCACTTGCACGCACCTTGGACACAATAGGTATTGTGGTGTGTTGTGTGTCCGAAACTGGGATCAATGACCCTAATGAAGCTGTTGAATTAACTGCACCCGGCTTGTCCTCTCGTTATTGGTTGCACGCATCCGAAGACGCCAATGCAGCACTCACGGGTCAAGCTGGTGTAGGTATCATTCTATGCTCCAAGGCTAATCCATCGTTAGTTGATTGGATTGCAGTGCACAGCCGTTTATATGCAGTCCGTTTGACGACATCAGCCAAAGTTGATTCACGAAGTAGTACAAAACGTTGTTTGTTTGTGATTTCCGCTTATGCTCTCACCGACTGCAGTTCAGATGCTGTCAGGGACACATTTTATGACGAACTGAACGCGTTACTACGCAGTGCTACTAGTTCAGATATTATAGTACTTGCAGGGGATATGAACGCACAAGTAGGGCGTCTGAGCTCTTCAGAAGCTCACCTGGGTGGTAATTGTGGACTTAACTCCTAACGGACTGACAACGGCGAGCGTCTGCTACAAATGTGTGCGGTGCACCAGTTGTTTCTTAGTAGTACTGCTTTTCGACACAGTGGGCGCCGAACTGCCACTTGGCGTCCCTCTGTAGTTGGCCGGCGGTGGACCCAAATTGACCACATAGCCATAGGTTACAGATGGCGTAGTTCCATCCTGGATTGCCGCTCGTGCTGGAGTACCTGTGTCGACTCTGATCATGCCTTGGTACGCTGTCGTTTCTCCATGAACTTTACCGGGAGGCGCACCAAGTGTCTCCTCCGATTGGCAACTGTGAAATTGTCTCAGCCCTCGGTCAGGCAAGCCTATCGAGAAGCACTGCATACCGAACTTTCGCTGTCTTGTTCTGCTGACACTGAGCTTCAGTGGAATAGGATCTCGGCCGCTATGCACGACGCAGGAGCATCTGCTTGTAGCACTATCCATCGTCACCGCACCAGTCACTGGATATCCGAGAGGTCGATGAACCTGTTAGAATCCAGAAGAAATTTCCCGGCTGGCTGTGAGCACAATGTGACCAGACGAGCTATTAGGCGCGGACTAAAGCGGAGCCTACGTGCTGACAGGAAAGCCTGGTGGACCAGTAGGGTTCAAGAAATGGAGGAGGCAGGAGCGGTTGGCAATTACCGCACGTACCGTACTGCGCAGCGTTGCAAAGCCATGTAACAAACAACCCAGACTGAGGATTGTTTGCCTACTGCAGTTAGTCGAAGCCTCAACGAACCGGCGGCTGAAACCCAGTGTTTGTCAACGGGCGGAGTTAATGTTCCGCCTTCCCTTGCCTTCCGTTTGCAGAGCCTCAAATCAAAGGCGGCTGTCACCTAAGCCAA